TTGAGGAGGAGTCCCTTTAAGATAAGCGTAAAGTATGTCTAAGAAGACATATGATATCTATAAATGATTTGTCTACTGAATAAATCATCGCCTTGTGATGATGCGAGCGCAAATATACACAGGAGAATGATAGTTAGGTTTTAAAATAATAAATTAATACCAGTTAAATTTTTGATAATTTTTTTACAAAATAAATTATAAATATCAATTTAAATAATTATAAACAAAAGTTTTTGTTGCAATCTAAAAATTATATTTTATATTTAAATACTTATCTATAATTAAAATTCTTGAATTTATAATAATTTATATCAATATTTTTAATTTATTTTTTAAAAAAATTTATTAAAAACTTAACTGATATTAATTTAATATTTTAAAATTTAATTGTCATTCTATATATATATATTGATTAACAAACAATAGAGGAAATCATTATTTTGCTACTTAATTTTACTGTGCAGCGAAATGATTGATGTGTCATTTAAAATATTATATGCAACTATGCAAGTATAATGTTGCAAGGGATATAGAACATTATATAAAGAATAAAGATATAAATTTAATCACAGAATATTTGTGGAGAACTACTGAGTATCCCATATTATAAGGTAATATAAAAAATTATCAATTACAAAAAATAGAGTGCCTAACACATACCATTAATTTTAAACCAATATCATTATTTTATTATGAACTGCGGGGCCTATTTGTTTACATCAGTGTTTTTAGAACCGAATCAGATATTGAACCGAAAAGGCCAGCGGTTCACGGTTCGTATGGTTCAACCAGATCGGACTAATGGTCAAACCGGTGATATAATAATTAAATTTAAAAAATTATATATATATATATATAATAATCTAAATATAAGAAATACATATGAAATTGCTATTTAACTTAAAAAAATCAAATATTTTAAGTTTATCATGACTTAACAAGCCACATGATACAACATAATATCAAATGATTAAAAAAAATTAGTCATTTTTTAAAAAATTTGATAAAAAATAAAAAAAGTTTTTTTGAGCAATCCAGTTTTTGAAAACCAGATCCGGTTCTCAGCTTGATTCTAATTCCCGATTCGACCACCGGTTTAAAACGGCTCAACCCTTAAAATGGTTTTCTCATATGAACTAGATCGAAAACTAGATCGATCCGACCGTCTAGTTCAGTTCGATTTTCAAAACACTGGTTTACATCTCTCTTTGACCCTTTCTCTCCGTCGATCGTGCATGGCGCATGAGTTTGGTGCTCTCTCCTCTATCTCCTTACCACTCTCTCCCAATTCCAGCAATACCTAGCAATAACAACAAAATCAATTCAAAGAATTTGGCTATTTACGGGTTCAACTTTACTTCTTTAGAATCTCTTAATTCCTGGAACCATCTTCATCTCTATAGATCTAATCTTCTTTAGTGCTCCTATGTCTAGCACAGGTGTCTTCCCACATTGTTCTTTAGCTCTAAAGGCCCCTTTTAATTTCTGGCCTCTTTAATCCGTACTTCATATTCCCTAAAATTACACAAACCTGAGTTTTTGGCTATAACACACTGTTTTATTGTACAACAAGTAAATATACTCATGGTGTAAGGTTTTCCTTACTAATTTATAATTAACTCCAAAATTAAAATAATCATAGGATTAATCCAAATAAATTATCAAGTTAATAAAATTTTTATAAATGGGATATTAAGTTTTTAAAACTTAAAATGCTATAAAATTATTTCATAAACTAAAATCAAAACAAAAACTGTATACGAAATCATAGACATTATACAAGATAAGATAACATTAAATTGGAATCAAAAGAGCAAAAATAATGATTCTCACAAAATACGCTGCGGCTTAAAATTTTACTCTGTAATGTAAAATAGCAAATTTTTTGGCCAGAGTTCCAAAGCTTCTTATTTCTTTGTCCGATATCCAATTGAAATGATTTAGATGTTTACAAAAAGCTTTCTCCAAATTCTAACTAACGGTACTAGTCTCATATTTAAGTCATTTCTTAATCAAAAGTTAGACACTAAAATAAAAACTCACTCATTTTTACTTTCAAAAGATAATTGGGGTGTCCAAAATCACAACCAAGTGACATAAGCTCATAATCATCTTTAGACCATACTCAATATGACTCGTGCAATACATCACAACACTCCAATAATATGTATAACACATTTTCAATCCTCAACCTCTTAATCTAAAAAATGACAGGGGGAGTCTCAATCATATAATTCCACATATAAATCACCATCATTTACAAATATACTCTCTCCTTACTTGCACAATTATTTTGGCTCTATTTATATTTTACATTTAATTCACATACAACCTAGAACCCAAAATACATAACTTAGATCAAGAATCACATAATGCAAGTAAGCAAAAACATAGAATCTCCTAGTTAGTATTATCAAAATAAAGTATACACATCAACTCTAAAATAAATGAGGCCTACAAATCGAGGATAGAAATTCTAAGCTTTTAACTGTTTCTCGTGATCCTATCCTAATGAGCTAACACTTTTAATGTTGAAGAGAGAAGGATAAGTACAACTACTTAATAACGAAAGTTAATATAGCCTATACAAATACATATTTTCTTCAAATCATGCTTAAACAAAGTATAAGAAATAATTTTACACTATCAAATATTTTTTCCACAATAAAATCTTTAAATATTAACTCTATTCCACAATTTGCATTCTTTCATATATTCAAAAACATACTCATATCTTCTATTCAATTATAAATGGCTATAACTAATTAACAAACAAATGCACAAATTAAATTTTCTTTAGTTACCTCAAGCCTTTGAGAAGTCAAATGTTTACCCTTTAATAAAAGTTCTTCACAAGCTACGCCAAAGCTTGAATGGTACATAAAATTATTAATCTACAATTTATCATATCAATAATCATTAATATCATCATAAACACTCTTTCAACTTTCATGAATCAACACTTTAATTACCCATAATTATAATCTTTTGCACTTAAGCATAACCATTAGGTTTATTAACTCTTATTAACTCCATTTAGCCTCTACTAACTTAAATAATCACTAATATAACACCCAACAATCCAAAATAACACTTTGGAGATTTAGGGTTTGTCTAAAATGAATGACCCAAGCTCACAACCTTGTAAAAAATTTTAAATTATGTGTGAAATACTTAAAAAAATTGCATTAGTTCCATTTAAACTAATGAGTTCGAACCCATAGCCCTAGGTTTAAAAATTACCTAAATGCTGCACCGTGGAAAGTAGTTACTCAAATATTATAACAGAAATCATTCAAATCAAGAAAGAGTTTATATTTATGGAAAATTTATTCAGGATAAAAACAATTTTGCAGTCAGAATTTTTTTAAAATGAAAAATGAAATCGTTCACTTAGTAAATGCATTTAGCTTTTTTTGACTGACAAAACATAATATTCCCTATTCTACTTTCTTCCAACTTGCTCCACTAAGAGTTAAGTTGTCTCATCCATAAATTTCTCTAGATAGACCGAGCAAGCAATGTGGTGGCTACTTGTCTATCCAACCACCAATTGAAAATGAAAATTTAAGGGAACAAGAGTCTCAAAATTTTAGTTAATCTCATTACATGCCAACCTTATCATTAACATCAACCCTTTTCACCTCTTCCAATCATACTCAATTTGAATCTCATTACATGCCACTCTCATCATCATTCCTTTTCAACTTACCTCGCTCCTACTCAATTTAGATTTTTCATGTGTTTACTTGATAATTTTACACTATTTTCAACTAAATATGACACTTGTACTTTTGAATGATCTAAATAGTATGGGATCAATAAATAAAGACGTGAAGAATTCAAATACTCTGGCATGTAATGAGATTGACTAAAATTTTGAGGCTCTTATTCTCTTTTACATTTTCATTTTCAATATGTAATTAGGTGGACAAATAGCCACAATATCGCTTGCTCTGTCTATCTCAAGAAATTTGTGGATAAGACAACTTAATTCTTGATGGAGCAAGTTGAAAGAAAGTAGAATAGAAAATAGTATGTCTTGTTTACCAGAAAAAGTTGTATTTGTTCATTGAGTGAATAATTTCACTTTTCATTAAAAAAAAATTCTAACAACAAAATTGTTCTTGATTTGAACAAGTTGTTCATAAATATAAACTTGTTCCCAGTCTAAACAATTTTTGGTATAGTATTTAGGCAAATACTTTTCACAGTGCAACATTTAGGTAATTTATGTTACTATTTATATAGGCAAAAAAAGCCCTTGAAGTTGAGTTCTGAGAATTAATTCAAGAAACAAAGGAAGTAGTGTTAGGTTTTATTACTTGAAGAGGACAAGGAGCTCACTTTTGCATGCAACTTGTACAGTTGCTAAATTGAGACTCACCCCTGTGGCTATAAGTCTGAAAGCAGAAAGAAGAGTGGATGCTGAGGAGGGAAGCTAGGAAGGAGGAAGACGCATAGAAGCCATCTATGAAGATGATTGAGGAGGGGGTGCCATTCTAGAGATTGAAAATTTGTAAGCCTCATGAATTTGGGTTGAAAAAACGAACGTTGCCACCAACTGGATGGAGGTGGTAAATATTATGTTTTCGTTGATGATTTTTTTTCACCATATCATAATATAAAATACTCATTAGTCTTTAAAAAATAGTTTATGATTAAATTTGTACCTTTTTTTTATACATAAATCATCATTGTCATCATTAGATGGATGGAGGTGATAAATGTTATGTTTTCTATAGTTGATTTTTTTCTCACCATTTTATAATATAAAATGCTCATCAGTCTTTAAAAAACAGCTTGTGACTAAATTTATACTTTTTTCTTTACATAAATCATCATTGTCGTCATCATTATTATGTTGTAAAAGAGGCTAATTTATATATCCTCTATGGTGATAGACAAATTTAGATTATCCATTAAATGGTTTAAATCTATTCACTCAATAAACACTTTGGTAACATGATAAAAATCATTTAATTTAACCGAAAGACCGTCAGAGATATGAGATCTCAATTTTTTGGAGGGGATTGCACATGTAATTCACTTTGTTAAGTGAATCCTCACCCATCCAAATCCAGTGACAGACTAATGAATTTGATCTTTAGTTTGCCTACCAAAAATAATGAATTTGATTTTTCCGTGGCAAATTAACTGTATCTAATATCAATTTAGTCATAGAGAAATAAAAAAAATGATAATTATGAAGAAAAGAAATAAGCCTTCATGTCACTCTATTTTTCTAAAAATACTGCATAACTATATTTACTTTTAGATCGTCCCGCTACTCTCTAATTCCGGCGGTGCCGTGGGTTGAACTGCGCCACCAACGGGCACGGTGGGTTCAGCCACGGTGCGGCAGATCGGGCAAGTGGTGTTGGTACCGAACCAAGTGTCAACACAATCAACATGAAATACATGCTTGCAGTTAGGCAAAACCCTAACGGTTGCATCTTCCCCAATGGTGGCTAAGCAAACCGAGCACTCTACGGCTTCGCCGTCGTTGAACTGGTCCGTATGCTTGTACCAGAGTTTAGGAATCGACGCTATGACGGAAGGATCAAGACCCTGACGGTCATGGTTTGGTGAACTCGATTCCACATTAACCGGCAAAACTTGATGAGTACTGAATTGATAAACCGGTTGATCGTCGAGGCGTCTGTCGAGCAGACTCAGCTGACGACTTAGGCGGAGGCGTCTGGCGTAGAAGTGGAAGACGATTATGAAGAAGATGATGGCGAATAACGTGAAAGCTGCGGCGAGCATCACCTTCAGGCCGATACCGAGTGAGTCATCTTCTGGATCTGTAAAACCCATTTGTTTCGCTGCGTTGTTTTTTTCTGGTTTTGAGGCAATGACCGATGAAGAAGATGTTTAATCTTTCTTGTCTTGTTTTTTATATTAGCATATTGCTATAGAATTCAATGGAAATGGAAATGAGGGTCGGTTACTTGGTTTGGTGGTTGAAAAAGACAAAATGAGATTTAAGAAATTTCAAACGCTTTATTGTACTGTTTGCAATTCGTCAGGATGCTTGACTTTTAACGGGGCTATGATTTCTGGGGGTTGAAAGAAGAATACAGTTTTCACGTGCTTCACGTCTGTATATAATTTACAAAAAAAATCAACTGACAATTATTAAAAAAAATTATATCAATAAAAAATTATTTGTTATTAAAATTTAAATAAATATTTATTAATTTAGATTAATTTTTTATCAACAAATATATATTTAAATTTTAACAATAATTTATTTTAAATTAACATTAATTTATTTGAACTTTTTTTGAATCGTATTTTGACAATCAGTAGCGGACACACGTTAATGTGAGGGTGGACAAATGCCTCCTCATTAATCTCGGAAAATATTATGTTAGTGAGTGAGAAATTTATACAAGACTCCCCATTCTCTGCAAGTTTGAACCCACTGTAACGAAAAATTTAAAGAAACACAATGAGAGAGAAAGTATATTTGAAAATTGGAGCCGATATACGAAGCATTTTTGTCACACCTTGAAAATATGAGAGTGATAGGCATGAGATACACATTCAAACATATATCCCTTAAACTTAATTCAAGAGATTTTTTTTTAATACTTGTTACTTAAATGAAGCCTTTAATATTTTGTGAAAATTCTGATAACATTTCCCTTGTAAATGGAGTTTCTCAAAATTTTATAATACAAATATTCAAACAGATATCATAACAATTAGGAACTCAATTCCTTCCATCTAGCAGACAAGATATTTAACAAAATGAAGACCCTTATTGTAATCTATATGTAGCAGTTATAGCATTATTTGTATAAGTACAATATATAAATTAGAATTTTACATAAAAATAAAGATTAACCAACATGATGTCTTAACTTCAATCTAGTGACAAATCCCTTGTATGCTCTGATAGAAGTACAAACTATCTAAAATCAAAAATATTTTTCAGTGAATAACGTCCCAACTATAATATTTTGTAGAATCAAAATGAAAAAAATATAACCATTACATAAATTAAATGAGAAAACAATTTAATGTAACAAATTTGTAAACGTGGAATGGAAATTTTAAAGAAATTCATAACAATAACATTTAAATCTATAATAATAAAGTAGCTTTAACATTTAATATTGACAAATCAAAATAATTAATTAAATGTATAAATGAAAATAATAACATTTGCTAATTGAAAAACCATTTGAGTGTGAAATCATTAGTTAAATAAAAATTCAAATTTTTGGAAATTTATCAGAACAATTCACAAACGCGAACATATAGTTTACGAGGGTAAATAACTAAACACGACTTATGCCACAAAGACAAACGTAGAGACACAATCCAGGAGGATAAGCAACCAAACGTAACTGAAGCCACGAAACAAACGTAGACACATAGTGTACGAGGGTAATATTAACCAAACGTGGCTTGAAGCCATGAAAGCAAACGTAAGTACGAGACCCATAAATAATGAACATGAGAATGGAGCTCATGAAAATCAAATTAGCTAGTCATCAACTATGGTGCTCTAAGGACTAACGGAATTGCCGTTAGCAACCAGTGTTATATATAAAATCCCCTTCAAATCCATTTTTAAATTTGCGAGAAAGTTATCACTATTAAAATACAATTGTCATTCTTAAAATCAAACTTGCATAAAGAATTTTGAACATTAAAACTTGCTAGAGTAAAATTTTATAATTGATATCCATGCTTGCATTTATTGAGAAACCAATATTGCCAAAGCTAATAAAAATAATTTCACCAATCTTGAAAGTATTCTTTATAAGGAAAAACACAGACACATTATAATTCAAATATCCTTCAGCATCTCTTTACCATTTTACAAGGCAAAAATAATTTAATTAATAAAGTGTTAAATATGTTATATAATTGTTATTGAATGATTTGTGTAACAAAAATATCTTGAAAAAAGAATTTAATGGATAAATCAGTTAGAACACTATCTACTTATCTGAAGTACTCTCAGAATTCAAAATTCACCTCTTACACCTCAAGCAACTTTTTTCTCTTCCAAATATCCTATAAAATATAGTAAGGCTTTAATAGGCTTTCAACCAATTTAGTAGTTTCCCTACAACATTATTATCATTAGTAATAAACTATAACAAGTTTGAAACTTTAGAATCGATACTTAACACATAAAAATTCTTGAATAGCCATAGCTAATTACTCCATTAAAATATCATCTCCTCTTTATCTTTGACAAAGCACCCAATATACCTCATTTCCAAACTCTACAACAAAGCTTTGTAACATTGAAAATCTCTTATCAAATAATTTGTCAATAACCATACACACTCAATAATTCAAATAATTTCATGCTGATTTTATAATTAAATTTAATTTCAATCTTCAATTTAAGTTCATAGAGGAATAACAACCAAAATAAACATGATACTCCCAAGGTTCAATAAAATTTCAAAAATATAAAAAAAATTAAATAAAACTTCTTCTAATAGACATTTTGTCAAACACCCTTTGTCCATTAATTCTCAAACTAACACCAAGCTTCTTCCCTTTCAATCTCATCTCCCACAAATTAAAACATTAATATTTAAATCAATTAGCATCCCAAATTCAAATCTTTAACAAAAAATATTCAATTAAACTTTAAGGAAAAAATTAAGCTAATTCCTCTAGCATGAATAAATTTATCTACCAAAAATCATGTTCTTAAACTCAAGCTTTAATTTGATTATCCTTATTTACTCCTTCTAACATGCATAACAGCTACAATTTAAGGGGAGAAAATAAAAATTCATTTTCAGCCACATCACACAAATGCACGCACAAAATAGAAGAAGAAAGATGCATCTTGACTTACGACCAATGCAGTGAAGAAATGAAGAGAAGTTGAACCTCCCTAACTCACGTGTGATCACGACAGAGAAAAATAAAAGGAGGTTCTAGTCACTTGAAAATGGAGAAAGCAGGACGCAAAACGAAGGAGGAAGGAGAAGATCTTGGAAAATCCACACAAACAGCATAGATGAGAGATGGTCCTATGGCAGCGTATTAACAGAGGAGGAGGAAGAAAGATTCAGGCATCACCGTTACATGAAGAGAAGACCAATGGATAAATAGAGGAGCAGATGAATTTGCGAGTTCAGCCTCGACAGTGGTAGATTCACGGTGATCATGGACATCGGCGACTGACTCAACGGTTGGCCTAGCTCCACTCGTGCACTGCGACGATGCACAAAAGAAATGGATTGAGAAGAACAAAATACTAGAGACTCGATGTCTCTTTGGTTCACACTCACACTACCAAGGGTTGGCAACCATGGTAGAGAAGGTGGAGGGGAAGGAAAAGACGCACCCACCAAACACAAACAGAGGAACGAGATTCGGGTGCACTCATAGCTACTAGCAACGGCATATGAGACGGAAAGGAACTATGGGGGAAAGAAGCCTCTCGATCAATCTCACTCTCTCCTCCTCTGCTAACCGACTCTGCCTTTTTATTTGTGACCCCTCCTCTCTTTTCTTAAGGGTAAAAGAGTAATTTAAGAAGGCTATGGCAAAAACAAAATTCTTGTCCTTTCACCACCAGGATTCAAACTAGATGTACACACTTAGAAGAATTTCCACTGAACCACTTACACATTATGTTAAATTCATCCTAAAACTATTTAAAAATATACTTAAATTATATTATTATTGATTTTAATCTAATTAAAATTTTTGAGTCCTTACAATTTTAGACTCTTTCAAAAGCTTTATACTTCAATAATGGGTTCCACATTAAGTTTCCATGCAAGTAATGTGAGACCATTATTTTCATATTACAGTGTTTGAAGAAGAAGAGTGTAGGAGAGAGGGATTACGTGAGAAAGAAAGAGTGGATTTTTTTAAAAAAACAAAATAAAACACATAGAAAGACAAGACAGTAAATGAGAATAGAGATCATCCAAACTTAAAACTAAAGTAAATGAAGAAAATGGAATAGCTAAGACTTGAGTGGCATCTTTTTTTTTTTTCCTTTTCCTTTTTATGAATTATTTAATTAAATGTATTTGTTTAAATTGTAAGTATGAGTTCATGATCATTTACTTGGTTGTTTATAGTTAGTTAAAAGTTGATAAAAATGATTTATAGTGTAGAAAGATTTTATATTATAACTTTTAAATGGAAAATATAATTTTTAATAAAAATTTAAGCTGCTTGATATAACATTTAAATATACTTTTTAAATAATAATAATAATTAAAAAAATAAATATTGCCCCCACTAAGCTTAATTAGGTCCTCTGTCTGCCACTGTTGACAATAACATATTATTGATTGATATAAATTTTTTTCAATAATCTTTTATCATTATTTTCCCTATAACTTATCTCGATATACATTTGTTCTAGTTCATAAAATTAATTAGGATTATATTTTTATTATTTGGGTTTCAAAGATCTCAACACACTACACGTTCATATATATGTAATTTGTATATAATTAAGGCCCGACATATCTCACGACATATGGGAAAGGAAGCCGACGTTTGGGTCATGTCATTAGGTCGAGAATTATTATTATTTTTACGGTGAAAAAGAGAAAATGAAATATATTTTTGGCTTTTATATTTTTCCAAGTTTCAACCTAAAATGTATATAAGAATATTAAGTTCATGGACAAGATAAATAATCAAATAATCTTCAAAAAGATTTTTAAAACTTCGAAACACGCAAATATCCGCTAATCGTTTTCTCATTTGCATTCAATTTTCACTTCTATCATTTGTACTTACCGTCTGGGAAAAAAGTCAAGATGAGCAGATGTAGTGCCCCGAAAAACCCCATAAGCTGATTTTTCCAACAGGTCCTCTAGATTTTCATTTGAAAATTTTGAATTTAAATATTTACATTCAATCTCGGAAAGTTCGAAGTAAAATAGTAAAGTTTTCAACTAGGCATATTCTTTTATCCTCCCTTAGCAAAGA